CATCATATTCAAAATTATATTTTATTGAAAGTCTAAGAGAATAAAGCTCTAATTTTTCAATAAATTTTTAATAATAAATTGTTTGGTATTTGTTATAAAAGAATAAATGTAATTGAGCAAACTTGATTGCTACTTTACATTGATTAGAAATTGAATGAGATAGAATCAAATAATGAGAATGAAAGATATATAAATAATCAAGTTTTGTGAAAAATAATTCAGTAAATTTGGTAAGTAAATTTTTAAATATTGAAATATAGGCATATTGAGAAATATTAAGTTAAGAAGAGAGTGATAGATTAGATTGGTAAAGAAAGTCAGTGAGAAATTCTGGTCTTTCTGTTATTATAAATTTAAGTAGATAATTAAAACTTTGTTTTTGAGAAGGTTTTTAATTTGAAGTTGAGTGAGTATTATTTGAAATAGATAGGATTAGTTGACCTGGAGTAAATTTGTAAAGATGAATTTTAGAGAAATTAAAAAGTTGATGAGCAAGTGTTGTGTTAAGTTTTGTATTTTGTTTCATGTTTTCAGTAATAGGGTAATTAAGAAACCAATCTAAATCTTTGGAAATATCTCTGGTTTGATTTGGTGTATTTTTTGGTTGCTGTTGTTTTTGTTTTAATTTAGATTATTGTTTAATTTTTTTGTCTCTAAGAACAAATTTTTGGAAAAATTTAATTTTTTCTTCTTTGATAAGTTTGAAAAAATAATAAAAATGAAAAATAGAATGTTGTTTTTTAGTAAGTTTTTTAGTTTAAGAAAAAAGATTAAGTTTAGTGTATTGAAAACTATCAATACAGTCTCGATAATATAAGAAATCTTTAAAGATTATAGCTTGAGAATAGTCAGATGCATAATATGAGTTTTGAATAAGAACACAAGAAATATCTTTCTTTTTATATAAGGTATATGAGTGATAGTATTAAGAATATGGAATAATTACTACAGGTAAGGATCTATATAAAAAGAGGATGATAAAATTTGAGAAGTTGATTGAAGACTTTGTTGTTGTTTAGTAATAGGTAATTTAGATAGTTTGTCAACAATGTTGTTAAATCAGTTTTTAGAGATGACAGTAGTTGGAGAGATATCTATTGCAGTTGATTTGAAAGTTTGTTAAAAAGGTGTAGTATAAGTAGTTTTGTAATGTTTAGAGATAAAATTTGTATAAAATTTGCCACAAAGACAAGTGGATAAGGTAGATTGAATTGGCATTTGAAAGTAATATTGTTGCTTATTAGTTTCATATTTTGTAGATTTGATATCTTTGGGTAAGTTGTGTAGAGTAAGTGAATTAGATTTTTTGGTACCAATACCAAAGCAATCTGGATATTTGTTATAATAATAAGTTAAGTTATGAGAATCAGGTTTGTCTGTAATTAAGATAAGCATTCTAGTTTGCTATTTTTATAAAAATATTAAAGAGAAGAATGATAGCTTCAAAAAAAAGTAATTTTTAGTTTATGTAATATTATATTTTCTGTATTACTTTTTTGTGACTGGTATAACAGTGACTGGTGTGACTTGTAGTACAGTATGGCTTGTATAACTTCTACTAAAAATAATATAAAGTATATACAAGATTGTGTAATTTTAAAATTAATACAAATTTATAATTATTTGTTTTGTGTAAGTTAATTAAAGATTTAAAAGAAAATAGTTATAAATAATTATCAATTGATTGAACTAATAATTTGTAATATTTTAAAATGTATTTGGGGTCTGGATTTGAAGAGGGTAAAGAGAAAAGAACTAAATTTTAAAATAATTTTAAAATTTTTAAAAAATATAGTCACTTAAAGTTTTTGCTTATAAAATGGTTAATTTTTAACCAGTTTTGATAAAACTTATATCAAATTGAAGTCTAAGATGAGCTGGACAACTTTATCTTAAAGGACAAGACAAGTTTCCTAGGCTGGATTTGAGTATAATCATTTTGAAGTAATTTTAGAATAAAGTTAAATAATTTATTTAATATTTGAGCTAGCAATGTAAAATTTTGTAAATATATATAAATTTAAGTAGTGAACAGTTTAATATAGTTTTAAGAATATTTAATTATAGTTTATTAAAGAAAATAAAAATTTTCTTTAGCAGAATTTTGGTACAAGTAATTGTTAGGAAGAGTTAGCAATTTGTGTCCCAACTAAACTTTTTTAAATTTTCAAACAAGTGGTTTGCTAACTATCTTTTTTTAATTTGTAAGATTATAAAAAAATTAATATTGTAGAGCTAATTCATTGTTCTTATAATATATTTTTTTTTAACAAAATTAATATTTTGGTATATTAAATAAAAGTTGTATAAATTTTTTTAATTTAATTAGTAATCAATTCTAATATTACACAAGATGCAAAATTAACAATAAAACTTATATTTATATATATATTTATATAGTACAACTTATGCAATTTTATCTTTATTAAAAATAAGCAAAAAAAATGCAACACATGTTTTGTGTAATATATGTGCAATTATTTTTGTATTAACAATAATAATGACTATTAAAATTCTAGAATTAGAAAAAAACACTATTTGTAAATAAAATAAAATAAAATTAACAGATACATTTAGAATTGTGTGAAATAATACAATCTAACTAAATTTTTTTTTGTTGTATTATTTATAAATGCTAGTGTATAGAAGTGCTTAAGTTTAGATAATTTTAAATTTTCAAAATTTAATTAGATAGGTATAATCTTGTGCAAATCTGTATAACTATACTAAAATGTCATCTCTGATTAGACAAAAAAGATTACATGATCTTTTATTTGTTAATTAAATTATAAGACTTAAAAAAAAATTAAAAAATTTCAAAATTACTAGTAGTTCATAATTCTATTTATCAAATTATTTTTGTAATTTAAAAAAAAAATTTTATCAAAATTTTAATAATGTATGATTGTTAACTGAACCAAAATCTTGAATAGGCAGGTTCTTGTTCATGTAAAGGTTTGGGTTTGTCTTCTACAGTATATAACAAGTTATTACAATTAGATTTGTTCTTTATATAATAAATAATATATAATAAATTTTACAAAAATAAATAAATTTGATTGGCTAAAACCAGGGTTTGAATCAGATTCTAGAACTTAACAAGGATCTAAGAACCCGTTTTTAAATTGAAATATATAGATTTTTGGAACCAAAACTAAACTTTATCAACTTTAATTATGGTAGACAGTTTAATTTCAAGCTATTATATGGATTTCAAACAAAAACTATACAAAAATCTGCTATATCAATAACAATTTAAAGAAAGTTAATAATTAATTTCATCGTAGATCAAATTATGTGATTTGATTTATTAAATCCTTTTTATTTTGTGAGATACGTAGTGTAAAATTGATTTTCATAATTTCCGAAATTATTAGTAAACCTATTTAAATTCTTTGTGTCAAAATATATTAGATAGAGTATAATTAACTATCTTGTGGAATTCATATAAAAATGGTAATTGTCCAGTGAAATTACTATTCTTAAAAAACAATTCAAATATTTATGTATAAGTGCAAGTCATATTTTTTTCATGCCTAAAAATGCTGCCTCTGATCAGGTAATAAAAATTTAATATTTTGTGAAGTGTATTTTTTCATTGTGATTATGAAAATATCTTTCGTTATCTTGTGTCTAACAAAAAACAATTTCCCTTGCAAAATTTTTAACATATGCCTTGTCTGACCTTGGCATTGTTACATGAAGTTTTACTTGGGAAAGTTGTGATACAATCAATTCGGATATAACAAGCCTTTTTATAACGAACCTATCCTATAATGATCTTTTGTTTTTTTTTTAAAAAAACCTAATTATAGAGTTAGATATAAACGGCCATGTTTGATTGTTATAATTTTTTCATACATCGAGGAACAGGATTTCAATGCGTACAATAAACCCTTATCAGAACCTGTCTCGTTTATATTTATTTGATGTCGCCAAACGAAAACCTGAAATTTCGATTTTTGCCGGCTCCGCTTTCTGATCCGATTTTAAATTAAGCACAACATATGGGCTAGGTGCTGAGAAAAGGGATCAAATTGACAATTTTTTCAAAGGATATTTTTTTTACATAAATCAATTTAAAATAAGATTAGAATTATTTTTTACTTAAGACACAAAAGTAGTTGTATTAATAAAATTTTGTGGTATAACTCTTCAAAGTTTGCATTTTCTTATAATTTATTATAAGATTTATAACATAAAAATTGATTTTCCGAAGATTTTTTTTTTTGTCAATTTGGTCCCTTTTCTCAGCACCTAGCCCATATATTATATGGCGTGCTAAATCACATTTTTCGGATTTGATCTGTAAAATTAATTTCGGAAAACTTAAAATTCCTGGTTTTTGCTTGACGACACCCATTTATTTGAGATCTAAAGCCAAATTTAGTCGCGTGTTGTGTAAACTAATAAGAATTCAACTTATTTATATAAATCAAATTCTATAATAACATAAGATCGACTTTGCTTGTGTAAACTGATAAGAATTCAACTTATTTATATAAATAAAATTCTATAATTACATATGATCGACTTTGCTTTAAACTTTATTTGTATAGATCACGATCGCGATCGCGTTACACAGTCACGTTGCAGCAATGGCCGATTTCTGATCATTCTGACCCTATCAACATACAGCAATTAGATAAATTATTGTATCATTAATGTTAAGTTATTGATCGTTGATTGGGTCATAATCACCTGATCGCGAATTTTTTCTGCCACCACTATGTTACCTACGTTGCGTGACCCCAAATCTCCGTGATATACAAATTTTAAAATCAGTTTCTGGTTTAAAAACATGATATATCAAATATGGAACTTTATTATCACTTTATCTTTCGCTAATTCTAATCTATCGCCCAATTTGGCGTGTCATAGATTATCAAATAACACAATAAAAAAAAAAATGAAAGTCTGAAAATGGACATTGCAACTATGTACTTAAAATCAGCTGGTAAAGAATGTTTAGCACTTCCGTTGTTACTTGAATTTCAGAAATGACTTCGAACACGATAGATGCAAGCTCGCTTCCAAATAATAATAACAATTCTTTTCACATAAACATTAATCCTGACAATGTCCAACAACCTATGCCATCAATGCAACAACAGTACTATCCTCCGCTCCAATATGCTCAGTCCCCTCATCCATCCCCCGCTTCTAATCCATCAAGTACAAGTACTGCCAGCCCAATTATCACCACTAATGTCAATCCAAATATCAACGTTCAAGTATCTTCTTCAGGTGGTTATAAATGTCAATATTGTAACAGCACAAATTCTCCCGAAATTAAATATTATCCAGGTGTAAGATCTTTCGTTGCTGGAGTATTATTATGTTGTGTCTTTCCTCCTTTATTCTGGTTGCCGTGCGTATCTAGTTCATTTATGGATGAAACTTCCACATGTCCGGATTGCCGCCGTAAACGTGAAGTACAGGTAATTATCAATGCATTTAAGAAGGCTTCGAAATGTATATTAAATATTCTTTTTATATGTTTAAAATAGAGGTCATGGACTGGTTATGCTATTATCTTAGGTGTTGTTGCTGTTGGAATCATCATTACTATTATTATAGTGGCAGTATCAGCAAATGCAAGTTCACATTCAACATATTCAACATATTCAACATATCATTAGTGCCAAGGTCTAGGTGCGAGGTTTTCTTTTTACTAATTACTCAAACAACATTTAAAAAAAATTTTTAAACTTTACTGCACTTGTGGTTAAAATTTATTTTCATTTATTGTATCTTATTTTTATTTTATTACATTTTATTGGATTTGTTTCGCCTTTTTATTTGATCTTTTATAAATTTTTCAGTAATTTATAATTTGTGGGTATTGGTATTTATCGTAGAGAGCTGCACTAAGTTGAGGATCATATCTGTATAAGAGTCGCCCGAGGTCATGGCTAACGACACATTGGCGACTGCGTATGGTCAATAAATTGCACAATAACTTATCTTCATTTAAACTCTTGAAGAACTTATCGATGTTCACAATATAATGAATAAAACCTTAACAATATAATACACTTGACCCCTCACTAATATCAACTCATTATGATCACTTTTATATTCACGTCGACAGTGATGTTAATAAGAGATCATATCAAAATTGATATATATGAGGAAATTTTAATATAATTTAATACATAGAACTTCATTTGTTGTTTAGGCTAATATTATATTAATGAGGGTCAAGTGTATCTCGTTAAATTAGGGTTAGGTTTTGTATTAAATTAAGTTAAAGGAAGCATTATCATTACAAAGTTTCGTGAAAAACTTTTTGTTAGTGTACAAAAGGTAGTTCATGGTAAAATGTTATGACCGATTATTTTGCGCTATGTCTAAGCTTGAATTTTGATTGGCCAATAAAATTTACTTGAGAGTATTATTTTCTTATAGAACGTTCTCAGTCATTTTCAACAGTCATACTCCTCTCGCACAAACACGAAATATGACAACAGTTCAAAATTTTGCAAGTCACGCGTAGCAGTTGCATTACCTTTTGTGTGCATACCGACACATTAAGTGTTAGAATTAAAATTGAAATAATTTATTGTATTAATAGCATTAATGAAACTATGGTTGCTTTTATAAATGTCAAAGAATAAATTTATATTATAAGATTTTTTATTAAAGAAAATTTTAGGCATCTCTAGCCATAGATATTAAGCTTATACATCTCCGGTGTTTAATCAAATGACTTTAACTAGGGTTGGGATCGTATAGAGTTAGGGCAAAGGCAAGTTTTAGTAGCCATTTTTTGTATTTTTTATTTTTTGCTCTTTCGTCGTTTTGACGGACTGATCCGGGATGATCGTCCTTCGTGTCACCTTTATGCTACACGAAAATGACCATCACATGATTTTTTGCCGTTTAATTGGTTATTAAGTCCGAAATATATCGATATGTAAATTTTTTACTTTATATAAAATATATA